GGTTAGAAAACCCTCCTCTCTCCTCACACTTCATTCATTCTCTCATTTCCACCAAAAGATCAAACACTTTTCTCTCAAACTTTTTCTCTCTATTTCGAGACTCCAAGGCTGATCATCAAGCTTTATTATACTCTTGGTAAGTATAATTCATCCTCCTTGTGATTATTACACTTCATTCTACCCCAATCATCGATTGCTTACACAAACTCCATCACTTTGATGTTAGATTCTCGAAAATCTTCAAGGCATCTTCAAGTGTTCTTGAGTTGAACACTTCCATTATCCAACATTCATCTACTGAAATCATATAAGGTGAGCTCATACCCCTGTATTTTCATGTTTTCTTAAGTTTTAGGGGGGGGGGGGAATACAAGTTAAAACACCAAGAACATAACTAAACTTTGCTAACAACTTTCATCAGAAAGGTTGGACTCCATTCACGGACTGTTTTGGACAACTTAAACATTTTAGTTTTCAAAACTGTATTAGGTGAAAATAGTTCAAGTTCTTAGCTTTAAAATGACTACTTTCACATCTCCATACTATTTTTCTACAATTTATGGTGATTTTTACAAAACTGCCTATCATTTCAAACATCAATCCGGACCAGTCTGTGATTATGGACGTTTTCACACAAGTTTGAGATCATTAAAATTCATAATAAAATTTATGAACAAACTAGACTCATTTCCCAAACTCTTAGAATTTACGGATTCTGATTTGGACCTTTGATGATTTTTCTATAAATTTTCTAAGAACAGTAAAAGAAAATGTTAACAACAGAAAAATACTATCAATTTCATTTCACCTTGTAACATGTTGAGCAAGGTGTATATCTTTATGTGAATATATGTTTTTGCAAATAGATGACATTTTGCCTTAGTTTATAGTCATACATCGGAAAAACAAATGGATTTTCTTTTTACCTACAAAAGTATGGTAATTAATTAGTAGTTATATTGCATGTTGCTTCACTTTAGCAAAAGTGTATATACATATCGGTAAACAAAAGGGCTTTTACCTTCATAAATACAGTAGTTAACCATAATAATCAAAGTTATAACTATTACATTTAAACGTTTTGATAAACAATAATGGGTATGGTTTATGTTTCCATTAACACAACAAACACATTTCGGAAGGTTTTATTCCCACATAAAAAGGTTTTACACTCACGCACACTACACGTAAACTAGTTAACTTAAATGGTGAGATATTCATCTCAGTACTCCTAGAGTACGGTTTAAAATTCCTAGTAGTTATAACTAGAGTCTCTTATAGGGAGAACGTGATAGTTGTGTATAGATCTATATTGGGTTTGACACCCCACACCTTACTGCTAGCTACAGTAGGACCTGCAGGTCTACGGGTGACAAATGTCATAACAGTTTTCGATGCCTAAGAAACATCGTGGCAGGTTCATTCAGTCATAGTATGGTTATAGCGGCTCACATAAGGAGTTAACAACACATAAAGTTTACGGGGATTTTCATAAATAAAAAGGGGTTTTATGTCGATTTAAAATCACTTTTTATATCAATAATTACAGATATTATTGTATACTTTCAGCCTTGGTATTTAAGACTACACACCATTCATTACGGGATTTTTCTCAAATCAGAAAGGGTTTTACGCCAATTTAAAATCACTTTTATATCTTTAAGTATGACAAATCCTTGTTCATTCTCGGTCCCGACATTTAGGACCACATAACTTTTATAAGGAAAATATTGGATTTTTCTGGGTAACACACCACACATTACAAAGAACGGTTTCCAAACTCTTTATCTAAAAAGCTTATGAACTCACCAACTTAATTGTTGACATTTTTTTAAAATTACTTGTATTCTCAAGAAATCAACGAAACCAAGTAACCACAAGCTTTTGAGGATGGAACGCTACGGCGTTGAACAACTATTTTTATATCATGTTGTGATCAATCATTGAAATATGTAATACTTGAAACCATGTAATTCTTTTCTGATTATATTTATGATTGGTTGTATTTACTTTGAGCACTATTATACTCGTTGTTGTGATAATATACATAAAGTCCTCCGCCCCCGAACGTTTTCCGACATCCTTGGTTTGGGGGTGTGACAGCATCGCATACACCACAGCTTCAGTTTTATTCGGATATTTGACATGATTGATACAGTTGTTATGACTTTTGAGTTACTCACTCCATGGTTTTATTATGTACGACATTGATGACATGATTTTAGTAAAATTAAAACAAAAAATTTTGGGTTGTAAATTGTGGATGTTACAAGCACATTCCATGTTTCGCAATTGCAGAAGTGCCTAGTGGATGAGTCCACGGTGGTGCCCCTTGAGGACATTCAAGTTGATGATAGCTTGAACTATATCGAGAGGCCGGTGGCGATTTTGGAACATAAGACGAAGGAGCTGAGGAACAAAAGAGTAGAGCTAGTTAAAGTGCAGTGGCAGCACCGCAAGGGTTTAGAGTGGACGTGGGAGCCCAGGGAAGATATGACGAGGCACTAACTCGAGTTATTTTCAGAGACAGCAAACTTCGAGGACGAAGTCTAAGACAAGTGGGGGAGAATTGTAACACCCGGTTCCATGTATGCATCTAAGATAAGTTAATGTTATAATTTTTACCTTTGGACTCGACGAGTTAAAGGCCCAACGCGTTGAGTAAGGATGAATCTCAGTCGGGGACTAAGAGCCTACTCGACGAGTCGGAAAACTGACTCTACGAGTAGGTGTTGTTTGATGGAAACCTTAATTGCAAGGGTTTGCCTCCCTATTTAAAGAACATAACGCCCCTGTGGCCTCCCTTATCACTCCTTCAACATCCAGAAAGCCCTAAACCGCCACCCTTGAGCTTTGTGAGTATTTGAGTGCCATTTCATAAGTTATCTTGTATGATTGAAGTTGGGTGAAGAAGAGGAAGAGGGAGGATTCAAGAGGAGATTTCAGATCCAGAATCAACACCATCTTCTCCTCATTTTCTGGTAATAAAGCTTCACACTTGACTTAAGATTTCCTAGATCTTCTTATGGTTATTTTGGGCTTTGAAGCTTGATTCTTTGGATTTGGACGTCCCAAGTTGATACACCTTCAGATCTGGACCTTGAAGGGTCCTCATGGCATAAATGTGCCATCTTTATGGCCATGAGAACCCCCATGCATGCTATTAACCCCATTTTGACACCTTTAAGCTCAAATGTTTCATGCAAGCATGTAAAGTTTATGACTTTACATGATATATAGGCCTTAGGAGCCCAAATCTACCTTTTGGTTAAGTTTTTCACATCAGAAATCGACTTATGGGCTTGGTCATTTGTAGACTCGACAAGTCAGTTTTGGGAATCGGCGAGTCATGGGTTGATTCCCAAATCAGTTCAGGGTTCAAAGGAACCCAATTGAGTTTAGAAAAGATTAGATAAGTCCAGAGGGGTGACTCAACGTATTAGGACATACCCATGGCCTGGAAACCATGGGACTCGGCGAGTGGAAGAACTCACTCGGCGAGTCCAAGGCAATCTCCCAACCCATGATGATAGACTCGACGAATTGTTCATACAACTCGGCGAGTCACATACTGGACATGTTCATATGATGAAGATAGACTCGATGAGTTGTTCATACAACTTGACGAGTCGGTTAAAGGTTGTCCCGATATAATGAATAAAGGAGAACTCGTCGAGTTATTGCAAAACTCGGCGAGTAGAATTGGGTTGAGGACAAATGAAGGACTAGGGGACTCAACAAGTTAGTGGGCTAACTCGGCGAGTCATGTCAACTGGAAGTTGAATTTGACTAGGATGTTGACTCTAGCCAGGGGTAGAACGGTCATTTTACCCTGACAATAGTAATAAGTGTTTTGACTAAGTGTCATTGTGGAAATTATAGTCGGGGATTCACCGGAGCAGCAGTCAGACATATTCCCGCTCAATATTTCAGCAGTCAACTACGTGAGGTGAGTATCATTCCAGTAGGAGCAGGTCTACGACCACAATGTCGGCCCTCTTAAATGATAGTAGTTCCGGGCTAGGGTCCGATGTCGGGGTAGTCCCGAGAAGTAGTTTGTATGCTTGATGTCTTTGTGATTCATGCATGTATATATGATTATGTTATATGTTACGATCATATTTATGCTATGTTCAGTTTATTCCGGACTTCGGTCCGATGCAGCGGGCAAGGCCCTAGTTATTCCGGACTTCGGTCCAATGCAGGGGGCGAGGCCCTAGTTAGTCCGGACTTCGGTCTGTTGCAATGGGCAAGGTGCTAGTTATTCCGGACTTCGGTCTGAAGCAGTGGGTGAGGCCCAAAGTTAGTCCGGACTTCGGTCTGATGCAGTGGGCAAGGCCCTAATTATTACGGGCTTTGGTCTAATGCAGTCGGTGAGGCCCTAATTAGTCCGGACTTCGGTCCAATGCAGTGGGAAAGGCCCAATATTTGCTTTATATATTATTGTATAGTATGTGGTAGTTTGGGGGAGCTAACTAAGCTCTGTGCTTACAATTTTCAGTTTTGGTTTCAGGTACTTCCGCCAGCAAAGGGAAGCGCTTGGGTTGATCGCATGGCACCCACCACAGTCTTTAGCCTGGGAGTTTTACTCTGATATTTTGATATGGCATTTGACGTGATATTTGATATGTGATAGATATTGTGAGACGTTGAAACACACAGTTTATGATTTTATACTCTGGTAATGAAATGATGGGTTTAATGATGTTTTAAAAAAGAAACTTTTGGGTTGTATTTTTGGGATGTTTCACACTCATTGTCCAATTTCTAATTTAGACCTTATTTCCCCAAATGGGCCTAAAATTCCCAAGTACAATATAATAATCCTCAAGGGCCCAATCTTGGCCCAAAAAGTCCAATACTCAAGTTTCTTATTCCTAAGTCCAAAATTATACTTCTGATGTGATTTGAAATCGAGTTTAAAGATCAATTCACATAAGAATTAAGAAAGAAGAAATACGATGAACACGAGAGTAAATATAATCTTTGATCAGCTCATATTATGCTTTTGATTTTACAGAGTACAAAGGAATTCTCTGTAAAGAATGTATGAAAGTTAAGTTCTGACTCAGTACAGTCTCCTATTTATAGGAGTTACAAAAGCATAACAAAAATACTAAGGACTAGACATTCAGACAATCTATTAAAATGCCTTAGTAAATATAACATTACATCCGAAGACTCTACTTACGAAGATTAGAGATCCTTCGTAACCATACAACTAACACTTCGACATATTACAACACTTATACCCTAACAATCTCCCCCTTTGGAATAAAGGTCGAAGTCTTCATGAAGTAAGTAGTTGAACAGCATACATGAGCACTCTTCGGATTTCCATGTACCAAGAGATAACTTTCTTTATCTCCTTCTTGTCTCCTTCTGAATTCTTCTTGCAATGATTCATACGAACAATTAAGTTCGTATATTGCGAATTTGTATATCTTTCCACTTCAGCGGTTTGAAACAAGAATCTCTTGGCCCTTCCAGCTTTATCCTTTCCTGCGAAGACAATCCCCAATGGCTTTAAACTGATTTCTCCGTCTTCGTACTTTTTCAACTCAACCTGCTTCTTCGTAGGAGCCATTGGTGCTGTAATGTCGATGCCTTTAACAGTAGCGAGTTCGACATTAGTTTGAGCTAGGCATTCGAAATAATTCTCCAAGAAAATTTTTATGTGCCTACACCCAAGACTGAAAACATCTGGTTCAGTCTCTTGGAGGAAAGAAAAGGACTTATCTTTAAGAATCAGAGCAATATTGATGCGATCGTAAGTGTTCATCAATGGAAAGTCCGCCACAATGAACTCTTGTATCTTTCCACTTGCTCTTGTCACCACAAATTTCAAATTCTGCAACTTTCCTTCGAAAATAACATCCCTTTTTATAGATATCACCTTCTTAATCTTCTCCAAGTACCAAACTTCTTCTTGAGCCTTTGCCAACACTGCATGAAATCGAATTTTCATCTTCTTTCCCTCTTCGATATCCATGGACTTTGTTTCTGCTTTAAACTGAGGCATGACGAACATCATCTCGTTGATCGGAAAGTCAAGTTGACCAAAATCAGTATTCGTCACCACAAAACTCTTCTTCGGAATCTTCTCAAACGAGTACATATGATCGAACATCACCCTTGACTCAATAGTTTCGTAGTTGAACAATTTCGAAGGATCTCCCTTATCAACATTTGAACCTTCGAGAGCTCTTTGTCGCATAATGCTTTCCACATGCCTCATCCTTTCAACTTCCGCTGCCACCTCAGCTTTTATTTCTTTGTTAGTCTTCTCAACCAAGACTCCTTTTCCTTTATCTTTAACATTCGAAGGAGCTGCATTCTTTGGCGAAGAAACATTTGAAGAAACAACATTCCCAATTACAATACCTTTTGTACTAGGTCTTGAAATTGGTACAGTTGTAGTCACAGTCGAAATGACTGGAGCAGCTGAAACTATTGTTGGTTTGACCACAGCTTTCGAAGGATAAACTTTTCCCACCACCTTCGAATCTTCTGATTTCTTCTCATGTTCCCCAGCCTTTGCTTGAACCACCTTTTCTCCCCCTTGCACCCCTGTGACAGTAGGTGGGGCATCTGAAACGTTCGGTAAAAGGCTTGAGATTCGAAGTAATGGAGTAAGATGTTTTTGAAGAATGGCTTCGAAATGAACAAATTTCTGGGAAAGAAATTCTTGAGAGATAATCGGAGAAGATGATTTCGAAGAAATTTCTTTGAGTTCTTTCAGCAGCTTCACCAACTCTCCGAAATGTTGTTCTTCTGTGGCTGAAAGAGAGATCATCTGAGGATTCACTGGTTCGAACATCTTGACACATTGAACAACTGCATCACAAATGATATCGATCTTCTGATGTGTTGATTCATATCCCTGTTGAATATGTTGAACTTCCTTCATCATTTCTTCACGAAGTTCACGAATCTGCATATTAACATCTTCTCGAACCTTCTTCACTTCCTGTACGAAGAGCACATGACGCTCCTTCGTAATAACTAGCACCTTGCCCATTTCCTTCATAAGAGAATCAACTTCCAAGATATTGATTCCAGTACTTCCTACATTCGCTTGAGATTGCAAGATAGAATTCAATTTTGAATTCAATATCTTGAACTGCTTCATCGTCATCAGCATATGGTCCGGAAAATCCTCTTCTGCTTCGTCAAAGGAAAGAGCTTCGAATGTTCCTCCAAACCCTTCGTTGTCAGTTTCCTCATCAATCGCCATTGTTTCAGCAACAGGTGATGATGGATTTGGTGGATCGGTTGATTGTGTTGAAAAGATTGTAGTGAAAGGTTGATCCATAATGGATTGGAATGTAGGAGAATCAGTTGTTGAAGTAACCTGTGGTAAAGACATTGGTTCAACAAGCTTTATATCAGCAGGCTTCGAGATTTCAATAGACTGAAGGATTTCTTCTTCTTTTGGAATTTCAACTTCAGGAGTCTCAGGCACTTGATCCATCATTCTCCCCCTTTTTATAATCAAAAAATGATTATAAAACCCACTAAGGATGAGAAGCGCCCGAGGAATAATCTTCACAATACTCCCCCTCGATGTGTACCAAAAATGAATCACCAAAAATCTTGCACGGAAAAACAATCACGAAAAAGTCACAAAAATTTTCAATTTATGAAAAATTTTGACTTTTTGGGTGAAAGTTGCAACATTTTTCAAAATCCGGGTAGAAATTGTCACTTTCTGAAACTTGCAGGGACCCGTTGCGTCCAAAACAGCCAAATATGCAAAACTCTCCCCCTTTTTCAAATCTGGGTAGAAAGCGTCAATTTGCACAAACTGTAGGGACCAGAAATGAACATTCTTCAGTTTTCAGCAAAATATAGTCCTTTTTCAAATTTGGGTGAAAACTGCCAAAAATTCAAAACTTGTGTTAATTTTCGAAGTGTCAACAAATCGAAGGTTCAGGGGCTGTTTTCGAAACTTTGTCATTTGCTCAATTCTTTCGAAGACCCCAATTCACGAAGACTTTATCATATGCAAAACTAACGAAACACCAGGGACCATTTTCGAAACTTCATGTTTTCCTTATAAAATCATCAGCACCCTTCGTAAAGCAACCCTTCGTTACTTGAACACAAGATAAAAAAAACAAGGCTTCGTTTTTATCATCCAGGAAGGCTTCGAATCTAAATCAGCATCATATACCCTTTACAATTCTTCGTTCCGATCACAAACACAGGAACCCTTCGAAATCAAACCCAAAATCCAGATTATCTACTTCCAGTTCATTCCAAAACCATGGATCATTACAGTTCTCCCAAAATCATCAGTTCTTCGTATCAAAAACACAAACACAGGAACCCTTCGCTTTTTCATTCAACTATAAAATCGTCAATAACCCTACCGATTCAAGAAACGATTTCCAGTTCATTATCATACGAGATCCTTATCAGCTTTCCAAATACCCTTCGTATGTTTACGATCAAAATCAGCTTTCCAAATGTTCGTTCTCACAGCCTTTATCCTTCGAAATCAAATACAGTTCATCATACCGTTCAATTCCAAATCCTTCGAAGAAATCGATCGTTAACCCTTCCATCGATCCAAAAATAAAATTCTTCAAAATCAAATTCCCGATTCTTCATTCGTTAATCATTCCAAATTTGTTTGTTTCTCAGTTCATGAATATCATTACAAAGCCTTCGTCATTCAAAGCAAAGTTGATCATGATAAAGAATTCATAAACATACTTAGCTTCTCAAATGCGCAATATTGAATACTTCAAACCAACATCGACATTCAAATCTTAATGCCCCAAAATCAGATTCGATTTCCAAAAATCGTTTAAGAGGCGAATATAAACTGTGTTTCACATCAAGAACCGATTTCGAAATTAACCTCCAAATTGAATATGATTTCAACATCCAAATCTTCAAAACAACTTTTATCTATCGATTTCTTCTAACAATTCCATGAATCAACCCATAGAAATCATGTTTGACTTTTTCTGTAATTGACTTTTCTAAGTCAAGAATCAATAAACAAGAAATTGTTGATTCTAATGGCCAATTTTAGATCAAAACTTGATTATCCAAACATTCTTTACCTCCTTCAAGTGTTCTTGGCCATGATCATTAAAATCAAAGAACCAATTTCACGATTTTAACACTTGAATTGGAACACAATCAACTTTTGTAATATAACAACTCTCACATGAAATCGATTATACAGTTCCGGATTATCATCCAGGCTTAATCGACTAAAAGAAACGATGAGAAGATAACGAGAATAGAATGATCAAAAGTCGATTCAAGAACATCAATTGTACAACCATTTGAAGAGAGTGATTATATCATGAACGAGTTTAATAGATCATACGATGTAAACGAATTTGGTCTCACGATCATGAACAGTAATATCTCAAATATTGGGCTCAAATCGAGGTCATGAACAGTAAGTAGATTAATTGATTGGGCTTCGAATAAAAGTATTAAAAAAAAATTTGAATCACATCAAGCATATGGATTTGGAATTGGATTGGGCTTTGATCAACACAAAAAATTATTGGATCATCAATGAGGTTGAAACAGATTAGATCCAACGAAACAAATCGATCAAAAATGAAAAATGCAAAGCACGAATTGAAATCATGGACGTTTTGGAATCCATTTGAGAATTTGAGATACCTTTTTGACGAATCGAGTTCCATTTTCGACAAACGAATCAAATTTGGAAGATCTTGGTTCTTTTGTTGGAATGAGAAAATCTCCAAATCGAACATTGTACCACCCACCATGCGAGATGTACAACTCGTTCTTCGTGTTCTTCGTGTTCTTCATCAAACCAAGAACATCTTCAAAAGAACCACCAACACTTTTGGGTTTTGACTTCAAATTTAATTCAACACTTGGAGATTTTTGCTTTGGAACCCAAATTTGCTTCACGGATTTTGGCTTCACAACATATGACGATTTTTGTGAGTAAACCCACTTGTTTTTCCGATTCATCTTCTTCTTCTTTTTCTTTCTCATCTTTTTGCATCTTGAAGACTTGACTTCATGAACAAACCCACTTTCAACAACATGAACATTTTGAGTTTGAATCAAATCTTTTGGAGTTTGATACTTGTGATTTTCTTGGATCACCGGCTTCCGATAAGGAATCATTCCTTCAAACGAATCACAAGAACACAAAATATCATCGGTTTGAACTCCAATTGAGCAAAAAACTTTTTCATCATGAGAATCAACTTGAACTCCTTTTTCTTGAACATCAAGAACATCACATTGAACTCCATTGTCAAGAACTTCAACAAACTTAAGAGCACGAAGATCATTTGGGTTTTCAATTAGAGAAATGTATTTCTTATTGAACAAATCTCTTTCTTCTCCTTCTTTTTGATTTCTACTACGAACTAATATGGACAAGGCAATTTTATTCAACCATGTAATCTTACAAATTGGTTGAAATACCAAGCTTCCATGATCATCCTTCAAACCTCCATAAGAAACCAAATTACCCCATGAAATCAATTTGCTTAACAACAACCCATAAAATTGATCTTCATTGACTTTGTATTTCACATCTTTAACGATCACAATCCAAGAATCATATGGCAAACCCACCATGATCACAAAAACTTGAAGAATTCAAGAGAGAGAAAGTGATTTTGAATGGGTTTTCTAGAGAGATAAAGTGATACAAACAAGTATTCTAGAGAGAGAAAGTCGAATTATGGATCAAATCAAAGAAAAATTCGACTTCTAGAACACAAAAAAACACTCTCTAAACACGAAGATCAATGAAGAAAAAGAATCACCAAATCAAAATAGCCATCAAGGATCAATTCTTGATGAAAATCAAGAACACCCGCTCTAATACCAATTGTAGTTGTCTTGATTCTGATGGCATGTGCGGAATTAGAAAGATCTAGTGATTCATCATACAAATTCAAGGACACAAGGAATAAATAAATATGTGTAAGCTCATATTAGATCTAGAAAGGATATACAAATGGGTTTGTACAAGTTTTCTCTCTCTAGTCTAACACTCCAAATAGTTCCTTACATAATGGGAGTCACTCACTTCCTATTTATAGGAAAGACTCAACCCATTTACACATACAAGAGAGTAAGCCTAAAACACTACATCCAAGAGTAACTTTGCACCCTAAAAACTTCTCATTGGGCCATAGGGCCCAAAAGTCCAGACCCATCCTCTTAGGGCCCACAATCCTAATTTTCCCAATCTGCATGCGTACGCACGGCGTACCGGGCATGTACACCCAACATACGCTGGCCTTGACCAAGACGGGGAGTTTGACCCAGTACGTGCAGCGTACCAAGGAGTACGCCCAGCGTACTGGCCAGCTTCTTTGGAACTTTATTCATGACTTAATTCGTTAAGTCTTTACGTCCAAACTACAGATCGAGGTCCTTTTAGACCTCCTAAACCATAAAGTCACGAACTTTACGTGCTTGCATGCAAGGTTGGGGTAAAAACATGAATTTAGTCCATTATACCAACTTTAAGACCATCTATCCCTTGCATGGTTTTTGGCTTAACCACCAAGATCCGATTTTTATGACCCTAGGTGCTTCTAAGTGTCCACAAGGACAGCTCTTAAGCTCTGGAACCAACAATACTCAAACACTCCCAACAATGGGGTCTAAAAAGGACATAAAACCCCCCAATAAACAAATCTAAGCATACAATGGTCAAGTATGGAGCTTGATACCTCAAAAGAGTCAGAAATGGTGTCAATCCTCTAGATCTATAAGCTCTTGGTGGATCCTTGCTTCTTCTTCAAGCTCCTTTCTTCTTTTCTCACTAAAATAACACACAAACACTCTCAAATGGCTTCTAGAACACAAAGTCACACAAAGGCAGCTAGGGTTTTCGTGGTGGTTGGGTAAGAGTGAAGGGAGGCTGAACCAACAGGGGTTATGTTCTTTATATAGGTAGCAAACTATAATTTTTAGGGTTTAAGGATATGAACACGTACATTGGGCGTACTCCTGGTACGACAGGCATACGTGCTTGGCCTCCGCGCTTCCTTTCCACAAATACGTTGGGCTTACACGGCAATGTACGCCCCACGTACACAGCTTCCTCAGCCCACTAACAAGGCCCAAAGGTCAAGCCCAAACCAAACCACACCACATTTCAATTAGGATGAATAATAATAATACCTGGAAAATCCCAGATGCTACACCCCTTTTATTTTCTTTATTTACTTATATAACTTTAATAGGTAATTTTCATTGTTATTTCCATTCCCTGGGTTCGATACCCGACTCACCTGAACTATCCCATTAATCGATTAGGTACACTGCCTATCGCGTATTAATTAGTCTAGATTATTTGGTTTTAAAACTAGTACTTGAAATACGTATCGGTTGGCCATGTTAGTTCCAAAAGGAAACCTCAACATGCCACACAACTCCTTTATGGGCAATCCAAGTTTTTCATATCAAAATCAGAGTTAACTGATCATATGCACATAT